CCTCAGCTAGCTCGCCCCCTTCGTTGAAGTAGCGATCAGGATACTCCGCCATCATTCTAGAGGACCTTGTCCTTTTATATAAATATATATATACATATATATATATTATGAAGACTTGTACTAATTTTGATGTACGCAACTGTAGTTGAAGTGTTGCGTGCAACATGTAAATAATAATAATAATTACTCTTTTGTCAGCAAATTATTTATTCAGCAGAGTGTCTATGAAACGAATGTCATTACATTGCCAATAGAATTATTCAACAAATTTTTAATATTTTTTTAACTATTATATTTTAATTATATACAAAGTTGCTGAAAGTATATAAGCTGATTTTCTAAAATTATACGTGTGGCAAAAAGTACACAATATACATTTTAACTTATTGTTAGAAAAAAAATGTATATATCAGTACAAAGATAAACGTTTATGAACTTCTATAAATCAAAACAACACTCATGCATGTCTCATATTTCAGTCATTATTTAAATAGAAAATTAGATTTAATTAGAAAAAAATAGATGAATCAGCTTGTATGCACATTAATCTATGTTAATTATAGCTAAATTAATGTGTTTTAAATTAATGTTTTCAAATTGTGTGTACTAAGTTGTTGATTAATTATAAAAATCGTCATCACAAACTTTATGAGAGGTAAATTTTAGTTATTTGTAGAGATTTTTGAAAGTCTTTTCGTTTCGTCAACACTCTGCACAATTACGTCACAGAAGGCACAAAACTATGACAACATAAAGCAACAATTTCATTACGAGAAATAAATTAATTAACAAGGCACTGCCACACCGGACCAACAAAGCCGAAACGAATGATAGAAGGGATTCTAAGATGGACAGAGGAAAGATACGCGCAAATGCAGAAAGAGAACCAGCAATCCTTAATTGATGATTTTCCGTAAAGAGAAAAGCTATAAAGAAGATATATATAAAACTGAAACCCTTCCACGTTTAAAAAATGTGAACGAGTGCGTAGTTCCAATATATGTATGCGTGATTGAAGAGTGAGAGAAGAGAGAAAGAGAGAGAGAGAGAGAGAGAGAGAGAGAGAGAGAGAGAGAGTAAGTGAAAAAAAGGTAGGCAGAAGGAAGAAGAACGGAAGAACATGTGAAACGTTTTTCTTCGGCAAACAACGTCTTTGTATACTTTAACCCGTGTTGTAAGGAGAAACCCCCACGATTCTCTTGTATATGTACATCAATATCTCGATAGTAGCCGTAAGCCTAACTAGTGAGTCGCGGATTTGCGATAGGACCGACGAAATGAATGTAAATGAGATTCGCCTGATTTAATTGCAAATTGTGCGATGATGTTAATTTACATCTTTTGCGTTTATTTACATTCATATAGAATTATTCATGCCAATTCGTTGCACAAACGCTATTTTATTTATTATACAAGTTTTTTTATTTACATGTAACTCGTGTATGTTTATCACACGATAACTGATAACATTATCAACCTAATAAATCGTATATATACTACTCAACATTATGCAAACAAGCGAGATTTTCTTTCATATTATTATACGCGCGATTTTATTCCAATTATGTTCGGTATTTACGGAGAATGCGTTTTGTTTCACGCATGATGCGCATGATGTATTATTTTATCTTTAATATTCAGCGAACGATTAGGATGAAATGATATATTATCAGCATCATGCGTGAAATGGAACGCACCTTGAGCAGTATATTTGCAGCAACATTTGATATATTCTTTTATAATTTCACCAAGTCGCGAATCCACAAGAAACAGATGAAGAAAGAACAAAAAAGGAATTTGCATGTGTGCCGGAAGCAAATCCGCGACGCATTATTATTTAACATAATGTAGTGAGTTTTCGATGTCTTCGAGTATAATTACAGTTTGTACACGTATACACGCAGTTTTAAGCAACAGAATGTACACACATACACACACACACATAAAACACACACACACACACACACACACACACACACACACACACACACACACACACACGTGCGCACAAGTGACATCACTCATGAATTTACCAGAGACACATCGAGGAGGAAGCGAGGACAATGGAAGGCATAGAACGGAAGAAGTTAACGTTTCGTCGGAGCAGGCGATAATGACAGGCGGAACACAAAGAAATAAAATAAAATAAAATACCGTAAAAGTATAAATTACATGTTGTGGTGTAAGCAGTTCTTCGAATGTCGAGTAGCGACGAATACGTCTGTAAATTCATCAATTCGCTCATTCATCGATTCCTATTTTCATTGTATACCGTTAAAACCAGTTTCATTGTAATCCGAGTTACATCGGTACGTCATCGTTGCCGCATCATTTGTAACGATACACGATTATATTGGTTAATAAAAGTTATCTAGACGTAATGCGTGTTTTCTTATTTCTTCCGATAAAAGATATTTATATATAAACAAATATAATTATATATAATTATATATACAAAATATGTTCATGTATGTTTTTTTTTCTTTTTTTTTTTATATTAATCTCTGTAAAATCTCTATTCATATATAAGAAAAATTATTAGAAAAATAACTTTATATAGTACAACAGGATAGACATATAGGATAGTACAACAGAAAGAAAACAAACATATCTTTTATATATATATATACATATATTTTTATTTAATTACATGTAGACTTTTTTATCGGATATATATGTATATTCTACACTTTCTTTCCATTCAAGCTTCTTCATCAGTCGCATTTAAAGAAACATTTTTTTTATAAATATAATTAAATTATATTGTTTACATATGATTCGCATCTCTCTCTGTTTTTTACAATATTTCAATGTCATTCGTATTCACTTCTAAATATAAATTATACTAAATAAATACTACATAATATTTAATACAGAATTTGTAATAAAAAAGATTTCAAACATCTTTGAATTTGCAAGTTTTATAATGGATAATTCACAAATGTAAAATATTCCAATTTTTATATTTATATAAAATAGAATATATTTTATATATGCCCATAAAATGCGAATCAACAGTCAATAACGACGTTTGCACAAATTCATGTATCTACTGTAGATATATTGTTTCGAATATATTTCAGGAGATTTAAGTAACCTTTACACATAAACTTTAAACTTCGAAATATTTTCAACTCAATGACTTGGATAATAAAAATGTTAACTTAATTGTAAAGATTATTGGCGGAAAAATGTGTGTCTTACAACACAGTTGAAATTTCACGTTCATCACAAGATGGACGGTTGTTTCTGTTAGTTTCGAAAACAGTATACAACAATATACGATTCCGCTACTTGTTTCACGGTTCCAGTTACAATTAATATATTAACGCTTTACATTTACTATTTGTAATAGGATGTTATCTAAACCCGCACGCAAAACGTAACGCTTAGATCTAAGGACCTTGTGAATAATCAACCTGAGTTGTAATTATTAAGGTCGGTTAAATTAATAACTGTTGCATTATTAATTTGGATCGTATTATGCTTAAGTAACCTGCGCGTACAAAGTATGTTAAGGACATCATTCAAATGAAATCTGATACGTTTTCTTTTGTAGTACAATTATATTAAAACGTATTTGTGACAAATGCCAGTAAAATAATGGCGATTGTAAATATGGAAAAAAAACGTTTTTACTTGATATGAAAGATTTTATAATTAGCCGATATAATTGTTGAACTTTTAACGCAATCAATTTGAGAAATATTAATAATCCCCCCAAATTTCCCAAATTTAATCTTAAAAAACTGTAATAAACTTATTGCGAAAAATATAATTTCAGAAATTAATTCATTTATAAATGAATATATATAATAATTCAACATCTAACATTCATTCACCGTAGTGGCGCTTCGTATTTAAAGTAATAATTATGTAGAAAACTCAAACATAGCAACGCTGCAAAACAATTTAATATTCTAGTAATCAGCTTGAACGTCCTACATAATCACTTTGATAATTTAATAAAATTATTTTCAAATCTAATATTTAGCTAAATTTTTACTTCCCGTTTTTTCTGTGTACAAAAGAATGATTCAAGAAAGAGTTAATGCAACTATGTAAAACTCGACTTATGTAAAGAATTGCGGAATATACCAAATAAACCGGACGTGAGTCAGGAACCGTAATTAACGAAAAATTTGACTACCAGTTCGAGTGACTAGAGTATAACGTAATGCAAGTGAGCGACGGGAAGACGGAAGGTGCGCGCAACGTTGAACGGGAGAAATTACAAATGAGAGGTGGAAAACGGCGGCCGGGCCGAAAGAAAGGTACACAAATGCATATGTATGGTAAGCGCGTATCGACGTCGCCAGAAGTGTTCGTTGGCTGGCTGGCTGGCATTGTGAACGACCGGTAAACAATTAGTCGCGCCGTATGGCGATGAATCATTATTAAAGACGACGATGACGAGCCCGACTGTCCTCAGGCGCTCCGTCGTGCCGGTCATTCGAGCGGGCCTGGTTAACATGCGACATTAATTTGCGTAAGGTGTGTTTTGGGGGTGCTACTTGAAAAGGCAGCAGCGGATGTGGGTGCGCAATAGAAAAGAGATGACGAGATGACTGAGAGCGGGAAAGGAGGAAGAGGAGGAGGAGAAGAAGAAGAAGAAGAAGAAGAAGAGCACTGGCCCCGGTGAGGCTTCGCCGGGTCTCATTTGCTTTTCAATGCGCTGTTTCCCTTCGTCTTCTTCTCATTGTGCGACACGGCCATTGTCGTGCCTCTGTACACGGTGTATTACCTGTGCCTATCCGTATTCGTGTCGGCGTGGGTGGCGACCGCGCACGGCAGCCGCGTTAAAAGGCCGATTCCTGAAACATCTCTCAGATACCTGTCCGTGTCTTGCATTTTTCGAGGATAATCGCTGGAAATTATTCGTCTCCGATGTTCA